GGTGTCCAGGTGTTCCCTTGAAATTCCCTCCTGGAGGTCCCTTAATCCCACTGAAGTATCCCCTTGGAGCTCTGGGAGGGGCAATCCCCTCAGGGAGGCTCCTTAATCCATTTTAGTGTTCCCTTGGGGCTCCACGAGGGGGGAATCCCCTCGTGGAGGTCCCTTAATCCCTTGGAGCGTTCCCTTGGAGCTCCGTGAGGGGGGAATTCCCTCATGGAGGCCCCTTAATCCCGCTGTGGTGTCCTGGTGTTCCCTTGGAATCCTCTTATAGAGAACCCTTAATCCCACTGTCGTGTTCCCTTGGAGCTCTGGGAGGGAGTAATTTCTTCGTGGAGGTCCTTTAATCCCTTGGAGTGTCCCCTTGGAGATCTGGGAGGGGAAAATTTCCTCAAGGAGGTCCCTTAATCCTGCTGTGGTGTCCAGGTGTTCCCTTGAAATTCCCTCCTGGAGGTCCCTTAATCCCACTGAAGTATCCCCTTGGAGCTCTGGGAGGGGAAATCCCCTCATGGAGGCTCCTTAATCCATTTTAGTGTTCCCTTGGGGCTCCGTGAGGGGGAAATTCCCTCATGGAAACCCCTTAATCCCACTGTGGTGTTCGGGTGTTCCCTTAGAATTCCCTCATGGAAAACACTTAATCCTGCTGTGGTGTCCTGGTGTTCCCTTGGAATCCCCTCATGGAGAACCCTTAATCCCACTGTTGTGTTCCCTTGGAGCCCCTTTATCCCCCCCCTTCACCCTCAGTGTCTCCCAAATCCCAGCCCTGCATCCCATGTGATTTATTTGCCCTCTCTTCCCCTCTGGGCTCAGTTTTCCCCCTTCCCTCCTTTTTATTCCTATTATTCCCTATTATCCCCCTTACTTTTAGGATGATTGCTGCCAGATCCTGATAAAAAGGTCTGGGGAAGGGGAGAGGTGCCAGAGCTTGTATGTTCCAACAAAGGGATGATCCCACTACGCTCACTTTCCCAAATATTTAGGGGGTTTCCTTCCCTCCATCCCTTCAATTAATGAGTTTATCAGGAACATCCCCCTGATTTTAATGTTTCTGCTGTTCCAGGAAGGAACCAGCCCTGGCAAGAAGGTGACAAGGGACAAGCAGCACCTTCACCAACCCCAGGGTGCCTCTTGCCAGCCATCCCACCCCATCTGACCTCCACAAACTATGGAAGATCCCAATTATCCCGCCGTGCTGGGATGCTCCTGCCCCACTCCCTGTTTTCCCTCTACTTTGCCGTGAGTTTTCCCAGATTTAGAGACTCCAATCCCGTTTTATTTTTGCTGTGGGAGAACAGAATCTGCTCGGCTAAGCCAGGAATTGCATCCAGCCTTTCTTGGCTAAGCCAGGAATTGCATCCAGCCTTTCTTGGCTGGAATTGCATCCAGCCTGCATGGACAGGGCAACCTTTGCCTGTTCCACTGCCTTTTTCCATGACTCCAGCCCCTCATCCCAGGCTGCTCCAGGCCTTCCCGGGGGTCACGTTGACTTCATTGAGAGAGTGGATTCCTTCACGTACTCGGATTTTTTCCGGGATTATTTGATTCCCAACCAGCCCTGTATTTTCTCAGCCAAGTTCACCGAGGACTGGGGCAGCAGGAGGAACTGGGTCACCCGGGATGGGAAGCCCAACTTTGAGCATCTGCTGCAGAAGTTTGGTGAGTCCTCCCTGACACACCTTTGACTTCA